ACCCCTTGGTCTACGCAGTGCAGAACATCCACCATGCAGCGCCCCAAACGAATGCCTGTGCAATGTCGAAACAAAGCTGGTATAGGTCGGCCTGCTTATCTGAGCCCCCTCAGATAACTTTCATGCGTTTTGACGGCTTTCCCCAGCCAGCCTCGGGCGCTGCATTCGTGCATCGCAGCTCTGGAATGGAAGTGCTGGCCTCGCACAGCCAGCAACAACTTTCGTTCTCGTTGTGGCGAGGGAACGCCAACACCTCTCAAACCAAAAAATAGCCTGGCGAAGGACCCAACCATATGCAGTTGTGAATGCCGCAGTTGTGCTGAGTAATGGCGGACGCATGCGAGCGGTGCCACTGGGACCTTCGGTGGAGCTCCCTGTGGGGCCACGAAACGCTGTACTGGGTGGGTGAGACGCGGTCAGCAAGGGCTGTGCTGCGTGGTGGCGGACGCATGCGAGCAGTGCCACTGGGGCCTTCGGTGGAGCTCCCTATGGGGCCACGAAACGCTGTACTGGGTGGGTGAAACGCAGGCAGGGGGCAAGGGCTGTGCAGGGTGGTGGCGGACGCATGCGGGCGGTGCCGCTGGGACCTTTGGTGGAGCTCCCTATAGGGTAACGAAGCACTGTTCTGGGTGGGTGAAGCGCAGGGAACAAGGGCTGTGCTGGGTGGTGGCGGACGCAAGCGGGCAGTGCCACTGTGACCTCTGGTGGAACCCCCTATGGGACCGCGAAACGTGCGAGGGGTGTGCCAGAATGGGGTGTGGAACCGCATGCGAGCGCAGCCACTGGGGCCTTCGGTGGAGCTCCCTATGGAGCCACGAAGCGTGTGAGGGGTGTGCCGAAATGGAGGGTGGAGCCGCATGCGAGCGCAGCCACGGCGGCGTTCGGTGGAGCTCCCTATGGGGCCACGAGGCGTGTGAAAGGCGCGCCGACAAAGGGGTGCGGAACCGCGTGCGAGCGCAGCCGCTGGGGCCTTCGGTGGAGCTCTCTATGGGGCCACAAAACGTGCGAGGGGTGTGCCGAAGTGGGGGGGGGGGGGGGAAGGGGAACCGCATGCGAGCGCAGCACTGGGGCGACGGGGCGTTCGGTGGAGCTCCCCATGGAGCCACCCACGAAGCGTGTGAGGGGTGTGCCGAAATGGGGGGCGGAACCGCATGCGAGCGCAGCCACTGGAGCGTTTCGGTGGAGCTCCCTATGGGGGCCACGAAGCGTGTGAGGGGTGTGCCAGAATGGGGGGTGGAACCGCATGCGGGCGCAGCACTGGGCCTTCGATGGAGCTCCCTATGGGGCACGAAACGTGCGAGGGGTGTGCCAGATGGGGGGTGGAACGCGTGCGAGCGCAGCACTGGGCCTTCGTGAGCTCCCTATGGGCCACGAAGCGCGTGAGGGCGTGCCAGACTGGAGGGGGGAACGCATGCGGCGCAGCACTGGCCTTTGGTGGAGCTCCTATGGGGCCCCACGAAACGAGTGAGGGGTGTGCCAATGGGGGGTGGAACCGCATGCGGGCGCAGCCACTGGGGCCTTCGGTGGAGCTCCCTATGGGGCCACGAAACGTGTGAGGGGTGTGCCAGAATGGGGGGTGGAACCGCATGCGGGCGCAGCCACTGGGGCCTTCGGTGGAGCTCCCTATGGGGCCACGAAACGTGTGAGGGGTGTGCCAGAATGGGGGGTGGAACCGCATGCGGGCGCAGCCACTGGGGCCTTCGGTGGAGCTCCCTATGGGCCACGAAGCGTGTGAGGGGTGTGCCAGAATGGGGGTGGAACCGCATGCGGGCGCAGCCACTGGGGCCTTCGGTGGAGCTCCCTATGGGGCCACGAAACGTGCGAAGGGCGTGCCAGAATGGGGGGTGGGGGGGGGGGGGGGGGAAGGGGGGGGGGCGCATGCGAGCGCCGCGCATGGGGCCTTCGGTGGAGCTCCTTATGGGCCACGAAACGTGTGAGGAGCGTGCCAGAATGGGTGTGGGAGGGGAAGGAGGGGGGAGGAGGGGGGGGGGGGGGGCGGGAACGCGGGGCACCGTCTCTCCAAAACGAAGACCCAACACCACAGGATGGTTGGGAAAACAATTCCAGTCACCACTCATCTGGGTCACGCATCCGGAATAACCTGTCGATGGAACACCCTGGAGAAGCGCGTTCATGGATTCGGAAAAGACGTTCCATAATCCACCTCGTGTCTCCTGGTTGAGTTGGGGCTTCCTGACCGCAGCAACAACAAAACGCTTCGACCGCGCATCGCCGAGCCCCAGAAGGCTGTTCCAGCTGATTACATACGCGGCGCCAGTTGTGCAATATTCACCGCCGCCCCCATGGAGGCCCAGCGGAATCGTTTTGCGCAACTCGGACGTAGCTCTGCATCTCAACACAGGGCGCCCGCATGCAAGTGCCCGACCAGCACCTGTGTCCCAGAAATCAACGGCATCGCCGCGGCCTCCACGAACAGACTTGACAAATTCATCCGGTCGATAGCGATACAATTGCCCGAACATCAAGTGGGGCAACAAAAAAAACCGCAATTCGACCAGCTCCAGTTGCCGAGGTCAGCTTGGGATACGATATAGCAGGGGGCCCAAAAGGAACTCCGAGGGCCGCAACCAAATCGCGAAATACATTGCCTGGTTGGTGTCCGCGTGCTCCGAGCTTAGCAAGACGACGTGTCCCAGTTGCGCTCTGGGGTGAAGCACTCATCGCGATTTCCTGGACATCCAAAAAGCTGATGCCCCCGCGCGCCCATTTTCTTCTCCAACAGTTGTTCAAAGGTGGCTTAGAACAGTCTTCATTTACAGACGCATGTCGTTTGTCGCTGTCATATTTCGCCGAAGCTAGCCCCCGCCGAATGCCAGGGGAACTCGCAGCAGATGGGGCCTCTATCGAACCACTGGCATTGCTGTCAGGCTCCTCACACAATCGCTTCAACCATCCTCTGCTCATACATTAAAACGCTTGGGCCAAAATGGCTAGCCACGGCACGCGATGGGTGAGTGACCTTCGAGACCTTGGTTGGCTTGAGTCGGCGATGGTGATGGCGATTGGGATGGCGATGGTAATGGCGATGCAGCTGGCGATGTTGTTGATGATGATGATGGTGATGGTGAGCATGTTGGCGATGACAGTGGTGCTGACGGTGATGGCGATACTGGTTGTGCTGATGATGGTGATGATGATGGCGACGCGCCCCCCCCCCCCCGCCCGCGCCCCCCCCCCCCGCGCGCGCACGCACACGCACGCGCACACACGCACACGCGCGCCTCCCCCTCCCTGGGGAGGGGGGGGGAGGAGGAGGAGGAGGAGGAGGATGGGGGGGGGGGAGCTAGGAGGAGGAGGAGGGGCGAGGAGGAGGAGGAGGAGGGGGCGATACGATGGCGGTTGCGATGACGATGCTTTGTTTTGTTCGCACCAATCCCCAACCACGCTGTGGATAGTTGTAGCTGCTAGTGCTGGTGATGACGATGGTAATGGCGATGCAGTTGGCGACTATGTTGATGATGATGATGATGGTGATGCTGATGACGACGATGATGATGGTGATGTTGATGATGATGATGGTGACGATGCTGATGATGGTTGCGATGTTGGCGATGACAGTGGCGTTGACGGCGATGGCGGTACTGGTTGCAACGGTGATGGTGATGATGATGACGATGAGGTCCTCCTCCTCCTCCCCCTTCTCCCTCTCCCCCTCCTCCTCCTCCTCCTCCTCTCCCTCCGCCTGTTAAGGCTCTGAGAAAGGTCGGAGTGCGGTTAGCGGGGCTTCTGCTGGATCGTCGTTAACCGAACGAGTAGGGGGCGAAACCCAGTGGCTTTGCCGCCCACTGCGCCTGCAACCAGCGGGGTGTAGGCTAGGGGCCGAGCCCTAACTACATTGACACGTTAAAGTATCGACTCCGATCGCATAGGAGAAAGGTACAACCGAAAGTAACGCTACAGGCTCGGGAGGGGGCGATACACGAGTGCAGTCGCACGGCTAGGCGCGTTTATTTGTTAAGGCGCAGCTGTTTCGTCTGTCTTTCAACAGTCTGGGCGCGGCGCAGGACCGTGAGAGGACGACGGCAGGATGTTCGGGGGCACTTTCAGGGGCAGACAAGCTGACGATCATAACGTGTGTACATGCGTTGGTTATTCGATATATTGGCCGGGCGCACCCCGACACCGCACGTCCGCTACTACTTCTGGGACGCCCCATCCCATATGGCTCTGAACCCTGCATGCCCGAGCCTCCAGCCCCGTGTATCTACCCAACATGCGGCCGATCGCGCTATGTATTGCACTGAATCCCCCGAGCCCCCTTGGGCGCCATCTACGCACCACGCGTGTGCATGGCCGGTCCTCAACGCGCGTGCGAAACACATATCGGTATACCTGTATATGGCACGCCGTGGTTAGCCAAACTTGTATCTACGATGTGGTGTATATACACACCCATCCATATACATACGTGTACATATACACACGTGAATATACACATGCATATACACACATGTCTTTCGTATATCTGTGCATGCAGAGAGGGGCGTCGGAGCATGCGCAAGCACGTCGGATATAGGTGGGAGGTGGGAGTCCAGCCATGGCAAGAAGTGTTGACGTGTTTTGTTTCATCGCACGTGTCGCTTGACTTGTCTCTGTTGCACCGTGGCGCCCACGCTTCGAGAAAGCCTTGCACTGGTCCAGAGAAGTGTCTATAAAACGACCCTGGTACCCGTCAGAGGTGTCCCAGACATCCTGCTGGCCTGCTGAGTGTGCGAAGGATACTCGTATGTGAAGTGACTGTGTCTGCTCATGTATGTATATCAAACTCAAGTCGAGCTCGCAGGCAGCGCAAGATGCGCCTCCACCTCGCACTTGACATGCCAGGTCAACATCAACGAAAGAAGTCAGCAGTGCAGGCTGGCACAAAACAAAAATACGAAGCGACTTGGCAGTCGAATGACATACTGGGCACTGCAGCTGATGCAACATATCGCAATACCCATGCCCCCAAGGCGCTACGCACGAGTGGGCTGACGTGATCACTGCCACGCTTTGACGTACTCCTGCAGCGGCCCCTTCATCCCTACGAAAGGGGGGACCTTGAGATTCTGCACAGTGGTCTCAAGGTTCTGGCGCACGGCGTGGAGAATCTCTCCAGGCTGGCTTTCGACAATTCGGGCCACTACGATCGACCCCCTCACTGGGCCGTCCCCGCTCTTGGCCGACACCATCGGCTCCTGCCCCTGGCCAAATGCAAAGATGAGAGGCATCCAACCGAAGGGCGCCCACGCGCCCCCACCAGGGTGAATCAGGACGGCGCGGGCATTGGTCTCGGAGTCGGCCATCAGCTTCTTGGGGATATCGTTCTTCTCGCCCAGGGCATTCGGCACGTCCGAAATGTGGGGGGCGCCGCATTTGATGACAGCTTGGAGCTTGATGACGGTGATGACTGAGACCAGCGTGTCAGCCACAATGAAAGCGCTGATGCCGTGGAACGGGTAGCAGCGATGGTCCCAGCGGAAGTTGCCGACGTTGGAGACGATCACGTAGAGGCTGGCGTGGAACTTGGCGAGCTCCCCGGGGAACTGCAAGTCCACGAGGGCGCCCGTGCTGTAGTCCCACTCCTCGCTTGGTTTCTGCATCTTGGCGTGTACCATCGCAACCTTGCTCGTCATAGAACCCTCGGCGAAAGCGGCATTGTGGGCGATCTTCTGCTGGCCCGACTCCGATGGGGGGCAGCTCGAATAAATTGGCGACCTGCTTGACGGGGCTGGTCTTGTCGAAAACGAAAGGCTGGGTGAAGTCGGCAGACTCCACGCCGACGTTGAAGTCTTCCTGGGAGGGGGGGCACTGCCGTTTGCAAAAAAATGGAGCCCAGAGCCCCGTGCACGCACCACTCTAAGTAGCCGGTAAGGCATATCCAGTCATAGTACATTTTGAATCACCTGTCCCCTCGAGCGCTTTGCGCCTACCAAGGGCCCAGGGGCCCGAACGCACGCGGTAGCCGCGCTTTCGAAACCAGACAGTGCGTGACACCAACACAGACATCCCTCATGCACGATGAGGAGCTACATGAATCCATACTTTGATCATCCCCATTCATCGCCGAGAAGGAGGAGGAGGAAAACAGTGGGAAGATGAGGAGGATGAGGAAAAGGAGCTGAACCAGCAGCAGTGGGAATAATTACGCACGCGCGAAGCACGTTGATTATAAGCCGACGTCGTGCTTCATGTATGGGTACCCCGCGTGGTGTGTTTTCGCACAGGTTCACGGTTCACATTGTACCGATGTCGTTCGCACTTGGTCAGTTTAATCATACAATGCGATATACCATGAAAAGTGTTAGCGTGTTTGGGGGAACGCACCAATCGTTTGGACCCCCATTGCGCCCAGTTTCTGGTCGAGGAGCCCTCCCTGGATCAGCTTGGCGAGGTGGTGAGCAACGGCAGCAGGCACGTTCCCCTCGCTGGGGAAGTCCTCCCACTTCTGGACCATGTAACGCTGGCGCCTCGTGTTGCTGTCGACCTCCGTGCCCAGCTTCTTTTTGAGCTCCCTGAGGGCATCGACCGACTCCTTCCATGCCTGTTGGCGAACACCGAACTCCTTGATCATATTGCGGGTTTTCTCGATGTCGGCCTTCAGCTCCTCGTTGTTCTGCCATTTGGGCACGTCCTGGATGGTGGTCTTCATGGCGCCGAGGGTGCCCCTGATGTTGGTGGGGGACTGGCTGAAGTTCGCGCTCCTGACTGCGGGGGCAACGTGCGACTAGTACCAGATCTGGAGCAACCGCACTGGGAAACATTGAGCCCCCCTGTTCCTGCCTGCCGTCCTTCGTCCTCCCTTTCTTGTTTCCCCTATCCTCCTCCCGCTCCCGTCCTCCCGTCCGCCCCCGTCCTCCTGCCCCTGCCGCCGTCCATTCTCCGTCTCCCCCCACCCCTCTCAGCCCCTCCTCCTCCGCCACCTTTTTGCTTTCGGGGCAAGGGCGGGGCGGGCAGCGCGGGGGAGGCGAAGGAGAGGTAAGGAAGGGCAAGGAAGAGCAGAGGGAGGTTTGAGGGAGGAAGAAGAGAGGAAGAGGTAAGAGAGAAGAGACGAGGGAGCGAAAGGAAGGAAGGGCAAGGAGAGGGGAGGGAGGCTAGAGGGAGTAGGAGGTGCGCGGCACAAGCACTGACCTCAAGCGGACTACGATGTTTTATCATCCCTGACCTCGCGGACCGAGGACTTCTGATGTACTAGAGCCCCCGCGACGAGCAGCGCGAGCAGGAGGAGCAGGCGAAAAGGATGAGGAGGAGGATTGGAGAGGGATAAGGAGAGGATCGAAGGAGGAGGAGTAGGAGGAGCAGGAGGGCGCACGGGGGGAAGGGGGGAGGACGACGGGAAGGAGATGAGGAGGTAGGACGAGGCGCAGCAGGATGAAGAACAGAAGGAGCAAGAGGGTGACGTCGAGGAGGTGGGGAAATAGGCTACAGAGCTGAGCGCCGCCCGCGGTCGCACCTGAGGCTGTGTGATCGTGTGTGTGTGTGCGTGGGAGTTTCGCTATATATGTGCACCTGCTCTCGCGCGCGTGCGCGCGCTGGGCAAGCGAGGGGGCGGGCGCGCCATCCACCAGTTCGCGAACCGATGGGGCCGCCTTGCGCCCATATCCACTGGGCGTGCACCCGGAAAAAAAAGCCAGCGGAATCTTAGCGCGCCCCGAGGCGGCCCCTCAGGAGCCCGGTCGAGCAGGCATCTGCTGGCGGCGCCTACGCAGCTGGAGGGAAAAGCCCGATCACGAAGCACCTCTCGACCCCGAACCCTTCCTTCTCGAGCCACTCCGAACAGATCGTCTTCAACTCGGCCTTGAGGGCCAACACACTGCTGCCGCCGCGGTCGGCAAATGGCTCGCTGGTGCGCGGGTTCGGCGGAACGTGGCCGCACCAACCCTGGCCCGCGTTGTTGCGCCAGATCGACGCACCGTACTCGGGAATGAACTTGCGCGCCTCCGCCTGGCCGATGTGGCGGAGCCCCTCCAGGCTCCTGTTCACAGGCGCAGCCTTCGGCTTTGCCTTACCCTTCGCCTTGGCCTTGGCTGCTGCCTTGGCAGCTGCCTGGGCCACCTGGGTGGCCTTCTGCACATATTCCTGTTTGTAGCTCTTCTGCCCCGCCTTGGTCGCTGCCGCCGACTCCTTGGCCTGCCCCATGCTCTGGGTGTCGTTCTTGTCGAGAACCTCAGCGGCGTCGTCCACCTCGAGGATCGTGTCGATGTCGAGCTCGCCCTTCTTCTGCTGCGAGAGGCGCTTGAACAATATCTCGACCGTCTTGGCGTCGGAAGTCTGCAGCGCCTGCTTGCACGCGCTCCAAAGGAGGCCGGACAACGAAGAGGCGACGGGGACGACGAAGCCGAAGTGCTTCGCGTACATCGCGACGGTCGTGCGAGGACTCGTCCACCACGGCTTCTTACAGGCGATCTCTAAGAACGGTCCGTCGCCAGCATCGTCCCAGAACAGGCGCAAGCCAGGGCGCAAGGAGTCCAGGGCGTGCTTCGGCAACTGGGCGCACTGCGCGAACCGCGACTTCCACTCCAAGCCGACAATGCGGACGGCGTCGCTCTTGAGATCCCACGCTGGCTTCTGGACGGGCTCCGCGAGGTCTGTCTCCAAGGTGAACCGCGCCTTCCCCCCGCCAGCCCCCAAGGTGCAGGGCCAGAAGAGGACGCTCGACTTCGGGAAAGGATGAAGGGCCAAGTACCACTCGCGAGAGCCATCGGCCTTCAAGAAGCCAACGCCAATCAAGTTGTCCAGAGTGAACACGTTACCGAGCCAAGCGTCCTTGCATTTGGAGAAGTTATTGCTGGCGAGCGCCTCGCGCATCATGTGCAAGTCGGCGGTGGGCAAGTTCATGTTTCGAACGGACGGGCTGAACCATCCAGGGTTGTCAGAAGTCCCGCATGCGCCCTTGAAGTCCATGGACATGTCCTTCTCGGCTGGGCTGAAGGCGTTATTGTGCAACCTGTCGTGGGAGTCGAACGGCGCCGAGTGCATCTTCACGGGCTCGTACTTGTGCTTCTCAATCAACTCGCTCTCCAAGGCCGTGCCCATCAATCTCGCAGGGCGCCTGAACTTCCTGCATGGGACGGGGGCCGACGAATTGGCCTGGTAACCGTTCATGTCCTCAATGACCTGGGTGGCGACGCACTGCTGCAAGGTCCGATCACGGATCATCTTCTGGAGGTCCTGGTGGGGGCGGTAGTCAACGTCTGCAAGGGCAGCGATGATCTGCCTGTTAGAAGTTAGCTCGTACTGGTGCCGCGATAAGACAGCCTCGTCAACATTCGTCTTGCCATCGTAGATCATGTACCCGTTCTTGGCGACCAGGTCCTGGCGGAAGGCGTCGATGACTCTCTCTTGGTAGCCGCGGTCCTCCACGCAGACACCGAACATCTTCCCAGGCCAGCCGTGCATCCACAAGCCGCGAACGAACAGCTCCGTAACGCACCCCACGCACAACTGCCCAAAGTAGTACGCGAACTCATCCTCCACCACCGCGTCCATGGAGGCGTCGTTCACGAGATGGCCGAGGCTGTAGTCTGGGCTGGCGGGCGCCATGAACTCTGCAGACGCGAGCGCGTGAACGTTGAGCAAGAGCTTGGTGTTCTCGCAGACGAACTTGGCGTAGTCCCCAGTGACCATGCGGATGATCCACCCCGAACAAGCATTGACAGGCCGACAGCTCCGATTCTGCTCCGCGTGGTAGTCGTCCAGCGGCTTGGTGGTTGCCACGATGCAGTTGATCAAGCGTCGATTGTCATCGTTGGACAGCGTCATGGTGGAAACCACGCACGCGTTGCCGCAACAAGCCCGCAAAGACTTGTCTTCGAACGTGACCTTCCGCTGGGCTGTTGGGCCATCGGCCGCCGCGGCGCCGTCGCCAGCGCCGACGCGGGCCCGAAGCGCAGTGACGAACCCCTTGCCTTTGAGCATGTCCGTCCCTAGTGCCGGCAAGGTGCGCTCGAAAAGGTGCTCCGCCCAGTACCCTTTGTTCTTCTTGCAAGCGTGCAATGCTGCCCCAAACCGACACATCGCGATGCGACGGCCAACGGGGTGGTTCAACCGACTCTTCAGGAAGTCCCACAGCTCCTCCTCCAGGGGCCGCTCGCGCGGGAAGGCGCAGGTCTGGGCGCCCTCCAGCTGCTCGACCATGGCGGGGGCCATCTCCATGAACAAGGGGAGCTCATTGGGGCGGAACCGATCCATGATCACGCGAATGACGCCTTCGCCAGCGACGACCCTCGTTGTTGAAAGGGCCGTGCTCGAAGTTCCACGATATCAGCAACAATAACAACAGCTCCCACTTCCTGATCCGCTTGACCATCCCCTCGAACACGCACTTCGTCATGTGCGACTGGTCGGGCCAGATCCACAAGTTAACCTTGAAGTGGTAGAGCAGCGCGTGCACGCCGCTGACCCCGTCAGATCCAAGGTCCATCGCGACGCCGCACCCTGCCCAGTCTCTCCAATTCGCGTCTCTCCAAGCTGCCACATCGGCATCGTAGCTGAAGAACTTGAAGCCGTTGTAGATGGTACTGGTCTGGAGCTGGGCGTCGAGCTTCTGGATCCACTTCATCGCCGTCTGTCGGTGCACCTTGGGTGGCCGCCACTTGGTCGCGTCCTGGTCCCTCAGAAGCCACGAAGACTGGCGCTGGATCACCGAATCTGGCGCTACGGACCCCTCGCGCTTCCTCTTCAGCCCCCCCTCCCCCAACAAGTGCATGTCATCAGTGCCGACGTCGACCTTCAGACGGGGCATGGGGGCGACCCCATGCGCACGAGGACACGGGCACCCACCCCCCGCATCCCCCCCCCCCCCCCCCCAGACCTGGAGACCCGACTCGGGCCTGAAATCAAGCAACCCACCCGGGTGAGCGGCCCGACGGCGTGGGTGATTTAGTTGTGGTTGTAGTCGATTTCGCCTCCTGGGAGGGCGACATCGACTACAACCAGTACTAACCTGGGGTTCGTGACCTGGGTCATCTCCCCGCGCCCTGGGCGCCCGCGCCCTCGGACGCGCGACGTTGCCTTCACACCCCGAAGCACCGCAGGGCAGCACGCGACGCCGACGTTGTTGGCATGCGTGAGCAGGGTGTTCGTGACCGCCATGGCTGCGGGGGAGGCCTTGTCGCAGGCGATGCCAACGACCCTGTAGTTCGCAGAGACCTGGGAGCCTGCCAACACGCACTGGAACAACTTCGCGTCGAGCATGGGGTCGGAGGCGCTGATCTCCTCATTCGTGAACGTGAACGTGGCTGGCTCGTCCGAGTCCTCGCGGCCGCGAAGGTGGCCCGCCAGCACCCTCTCCAGCTGCAGCGCCAGGTGGTGCAAGACCCGAGAGACGAGCGAAGAGAGTATCTCTCGGTTCGCGCCAGCACGTAACAAGCGCATGAGCGGCCACGGCTCGGCGCACTTGAACGGGCCCTCGTGCAGCGGCGATGTCTGCTGGATGCTTGACACCCACGACTCCAGCAGGGGCGCCATCGGGCGATCGAGCTCCCACTCCTTGGCGACGTCTGGCCAGACTAAGGTCAGGTCGGAGTCCACGTAGGCGTCGACGACGATTCCGTCCGCAAGCGTCGACGAAGGTCTCGGCCACCTGCATTTCCATTCAGCCAAGAGGAGGATATTGAACTCGCGCTTGACCTCGCAGTGGGCCGCGGACTTCAACAGACTCTGCAAAGCGCTCTTGGCCGCAGATGGCCCATCCTCGGCCTTCATCCCCCCGCGGGCTGGCGGGGCGAATGACCACCGAACCAACTGCTCCAGGGGCATCACGGTGTTGACGCACGGCGTCGGGAGGCATCTCCACTCATATGGAATGTCAGTCTTGCTCTTATCCCCAAAGTTCGTTGGCTGAACGATGTGCTGCCCAGGGAAGTGGCCCTCTATGTGTTCCTGCCAGCTCTTTCGGCATGCCTGGAACCATCTGCTGGGCATGCCCCTGAAGGCCTTCACGCCCAAGACCCTGTAGAGCTCAGCCGCGGGCCAATGCACGCGACAACCTGCGCCCCGAGCACGTTGGAACACGAATACGGGCATGCTGGACCACGAGTCGGCGATGCCCACACGAATCGCCACTGAGCCCTCCCGAAAGCGGGACATGATGACTTGCAGGGGCACGGCTTTCGGCTTGTCAGGGAAAATGATGAACAAGTGGCCGTTCTCGTCCTTGTACACGCCCTTCTTGAGCAAGTCGCACAAGAGCTTCGCGACGGGCTCCGAGCCCTCGCGGACGCCGACCACGGCGCCCTTGCCGTCGCCGTCGTACTCGACCTCCCACGGCATGCAGCCCTTCAGCATGTAACGGTCGAGCGTGATCACGTCCGTGATCTGCGTGATGTCGCCGTCGACGTCGTCGATGTAGATCCTCTCGGCGTGTGGCACCCACGAGGCGTCGACGCTGCGGGCGTCGGCGGGCGCTGCCTTCTGGCCCCGCTCGACCCCGTCCACGTCGAACGTGTAATCGTCTGTGACATCCATGTGGTTGCCACGTGCGAGCCGCACCTCAAAACATAACTGGGGCCAAAACGGCTACGGCGGAGAGGGCTTCGTATCGGCTCGTTGCTTTGATCGCCCCACTCTCGCCGAATGCGAAATCGCGGGGGGCCACGGGCTTGGGTGGAACGAGCGAGCCAGTTTCGCATAGAGCCTAATTGCAAACCCGCCCTCGGGACATCGTCGCAACTCCAGGCTCACTCGACGGCCTCATGGCACATCCTGTGCGTATGCGATGGCCTCTTGATCCCACCTCCTTGTCTCTACTCTGGATGAGGCGACCTCTGCCTAGGCATGCGCTGCACGCTCCGATTCCGTGAACCCTCCCCCGCCCCTCCGTCCCCCATCCTTCCTGCCCGCCCCTCCTACTCCACTTGCTTCGGCAATCCCCATTGCATCCACCCTCCCGTCCCCGCCTAGCCCTCCCCCGCCCTGTCCGCGCGAATGGCGGGGACGGCAGTCGCGCCAGAGACCTCGGCGGCGACGCGCGATCTGTGGCGGGCGGAGCGGGGGGGGAGGCGGATGGAGGACGAGCGGAAGACGGGGGGGAGCAGAGGGGAAACTGAGGGAGGGAAAGGGTGACGACATGACGGAAGGGATAAGGGGGACGACGGTAAATTCACCTTGGGGACGAGGGAATGACTGATATTTCAAACCTGCGAGCTCGGTGGCTCGAAGGAGTCAGTCCCGCGGCGAGACGACGCTGGGCCAATCGCCTAAAACTGGCACGCTGAGCAAGCACTGGCAGGGAGGTCGCACCCCAGAACGCGACCTCGCTATCCCTGCAGATGCGCGCAATCTGATTTCCGTTCGATCGTGTAGTGAATCGCTGCACGATAAACTCGCCCCAAACATAAAAGAACCATCGACTCACATCGCAAACTCGCACACCGAATGCGCATATCTGCAACCGTGCTTTCAAACGTAAGCACTAACAACGCGCAGCCCCGCCTGAACACACACACACACACACACACACACACACTCACACACACACACACACACACACACACACACACACACACACACACACACACACACACACACACGCACACACACACACACGCGCACGCACACCTATCGCACTCTCACTGGACATTCCCAGCCCAGGCCAACTCACCCAAGAGACGTGACCGATCATCGAGATGTCGGAGCTCACATGCGACGACTACCTTACACGTTCAGCTTGACGATCTTGCTCTGCTTACTCTGCTTGAGCTTCTCCGCGCCCCTCTTGCGAGCCTCCTTCATGCTCTCCTTCTTGGCCTTGGCCTGCTCTTTCTGCACCTTCTCCACCAAGGAGTTGGGGGCCAGAGCCTTCGCGCTGGCCGAGCGCTTGTCCGACCACGTCTTGAAGTGCTCCTGCGCGTCGGCCTCCAACTGGCGAGGGTTCGACACGTAGCTCTTGCACTTCCACGGGCCCTTTTTGTCCTCCTTCTCGAAGAAGCCCTTGAGGAGGACGTCGGGCATGCAGGCGAAGACGAGCCGAGCCCTCATGTCATCAAAGTTGTCTTTCAAGCCCCATGCGCCCGCGATGCCCGTCTCCTCGGGGACCTCAGCCAGGTCGCCGTTGAAGTGCTTCACCGTCTTGAGCTTACCGTCCTCTTTGTCGAAGTCCAAAGAGTAGCACCCAACGACCGTGCAGTTGATCGAACCATTCTCCTGAACGCCTCCACGAGTCACGAAACGGTGCAGACGATTTCCACAATGTGCGACGCGCTCGTCACGGCAAGACTGCCACACCTCAACATTATTGAACTCCTTCGGGAGCTTCCTCCCAGACGGGATCTGGAGAGCAAAGCTGACCAGCTCGTTGTAGTTGTCCTGCTTGGCGGCCAGCCTGACCACCGAGTCTCCGGTCATGTCGCTGTTCGTCATGAGGACGCCCACCTTCGCAGACTCGTCCATGCAAGCCAACGTCTCAGCCTTATCCAGCATCGGCGCGCCCTCGATCGCCTCCTCCTGCCTGCGCGTGCGCTGGTGCTCCTGGAACTTGCCGTACAGCGGCATGATGAGCGAACGGTCCTTCAAGCAGCCATCCACCATCTCCATCAAGCAGTTGTGCGCTGCGGAGGCCGCCGCGCCGTTGGAGTTCCCCTCCTTCTTCGGCGTCGGGAGGCGCAACACCGCAGGGGAGAAGTCGCCGCCCGACTGGACGGAGCTGCCATCGGCACCGGCGGCGCCCGACTTCTTTGCAGGAGTCGGAGGCATGGCGGCGCCTCGAAGAGGAACCTCGGACTCCTCAAGAAAACCTGCGGCGAAACTGGCTGAGGAGGTCACACGCGGAAACGTAGGCATGTGGGCGATAAGACACATCCCCCAAACATCCGAACCCCCCCCGAAAGCCAACTCAGAGCAAACATAAATCATAGTTGCCAACAAGCATCCATTCATAACAAACCGCACGCATATTCCTAAGCATGTCGTGCCGAAGTTTGTGAAACATGTGCGAAGTTTGTGACGCATGTGCGATGTTGTGCCATGCCCCCCCCCCAGAAGGCCCCACCCCGATCCCCCTACTCTACTCAACCGAGGAGCGCTTGACAGGGTACCCCCAAGAATTTGCGACGCACGCCCCGCCCTTCCTCGAAACCGCTCTTCCCTTTCAGAAACACGGAGGCCTTGCGCAGCCTCGTGGGTGGTTGCAACCACTCCACCTGGTCGGGGTCCAGCTCGTCGGCCTCGGCATCCTCCGCGTCGGACGCACCGCCGACGACGCTGCTGCCAGCAATCGACGGAGCGGAAGCAAGCCCTTCACCACCGAATTTGAGCGTGGTCCAGCGGGATGCCGGGCCTGAACTTGCCATCGATGGGGGACCTTGGACGCCGTGGCGCATCTCCTCGGGGTAGCCCCATCGCGGCTTGCGACGCCGAGCGTTGCGGAAACAACTCTGAACCAAGAGACTGATTGGACAATGGGGGCGCGGAGGAGGAGGCCTGCGAGACATTCGCACCCGGCGAAGACATCGGGGCCTGAATCCCACTGGCGGTCCCAACCCTGAGAGAACCACGCACCAGAACAACACAAACCAATGGCGATAAATACCCGACTAACTTGTATCAAGTTGGATGCGTAAGCCCGTGCGGATGGGGAGGGCGCACGGGGGATGAGCATGCATGTGTATACATGCACAGGTATACATGCGCATAAAATGTACAACACATGTGTGTAATGTAATTGGTTCTGTAAATCACACATGTCTGCAGACGCTACAACGTAACATATAGACGCATGCGTACACGACTGTATACCACCATGCGATTGACATCCGTTTGAAGGTTAGCGGGGGCCTGCAAAAAATCTGGCACCGAGTTGAACTGAGGAGCGATCGCTGGCTGCGCGCTGCTGTCGCCCTCCACCTTGCGCTTCTCGACGGCGCCCTCCTCGTAGATTAACTCCGTGGGGGGCCGAACTGCGAGGTAGGTGGAGTCGCCTCCAACCTCCCTGTAGATGTCGCGGTTGCTCACGCAGTCGGTCCAGTTCTGCTTCGCCTGCTCCTCGGCCATGCCCAGGTTCACCTGGTGGTAGGCGATGCGTTGGGCCTTATTCAAGAGGACGGTGCGCGCACGCCTGGAAATCCTAGTCTCGGAAACCATTGTGTCCACGAGCTCCTTGGTCATTGCGCGGGTGGTCGGCGTTCTCTTGCGGTTCTCGTCGGTCTTCAAAGACAAGACGAGGGCTCGGAACTTGGCCGGCGCGTCCTTCGCCATCTTGCGAACGGCCAGCCTGTATTGAGGAGGCTGGCTGCTAGTCATGCGGCCCACACAGTGCATGGCGTTGTAGCACTTCTCGCGGCACGGGCCCTGTTCGAAGAGTGCGTGCTTGGACAGCTCATCGGGCTGTATGTGGCCCTGGCACACTTGACAGACATGGGTCACTACCTCCGGCGGATCCACGAAGTCACCGATGCGCGCCAGAATCTGGCCCCAGTCCGACTCATCAGCGCCCGACATTGCGCAGCGTAACAAACGAATATTGGCGCTGGACACGCGAGAACGAATGACAGAGCCAGACACAATGGCTACGGAGTGGCGGTAGTAGTAGTCGCAATGGCGATGGCCCCTGGGGGGCACTAGTGCCACATGCCCGCTTGCATTCGCCTATGTGGCTGGCATCAGCTCGCAGACCCAAGGGGAACGCACGTCACTCTTTCAACGCAAATATGTCCGAAACTGGCACCGTCACAGGCACGAGCTTTAGTCTGGCCGACTGCGCGCCAAAAGAGGAGCCAAATGCTAGACACCATACTGTCATAATGTATGAATCAATGTGTCGTTGCGTGTTCGTGCGTATGTAGCGGTTTGCGGGTTTGCAGTCGTAAGGCAGTGACGCTACGCTCATTCACTAGCAGCGCATATGGGCATGCAAGTTGCCAGGGCCAGGTGTGGGGGGCGGGGCGGGGGTGGGTGGGGGGGGGGGGGGGGGCAGAAGCAGGAAGTTATGTATATCCCCTGGTGGGCTGGGCATGTGAATCGAAGGGGCCCTCAACGCGATATGGATAAAATTATATGTATAAGCACACATCATTGGCAATATAAAAGCAGATGTGGGTATAATAATGAATGTACCAGTCATTGCCATTGAAGATTTTGCTGCACCCTTGAGTGCGGTGATCATGGTAAGTAGTGAGCCTTGTAGTCTCACTACAATCAGTGCCAGCAGCGGTATTCGTAAAGAGAATAACAATCGGCCTCAACAGTCGTGGTCAAGTTACTATGTCATGATGTAAGACTAATATACTGAGTAGTAGCAGTAGCTGCTGTTGCTGTAGTAGTAGTTGTAGTAGTCGTAGTAGTAGGATGAGTAGTGTAGTATGGAGTAGTAAATTAATAGTTGTAATATCAGAGGTAGTAAGCGTAAGAATATGTAAACTAGTTCCACAAGAACAAGTAGTAGTTGTTGTAGTAGTAGTGCCACCCGTGTCGCTGAACAGGCCGAGGCGCTAACAGGTGTCTACTGCGTTTGAACCATGTTGGGGTGTTAA